GGGGGGGGGGGGGGGGGTAGATAATAGGGGCATTTATATAATGGTGGCATCATGGAATATGGGAAACTGGCATGAGAGAGTAAGCTGTTGGAGAAAAAGTAATAAAATATGAAAATATTCAGACTAAACCGAATCATTTCGACACACAGAGAGGCAAACGCCATTGAATCAGTCATCAGTGTGGACTGTTCCGACTATTGCACAGGGGTTAAGGTGACTTGATGTGAGGCCTTCTATCAACAACAGGAAGCTCTCAAATCTTTCGAAGAACTTCACCCCAGAACTGTAGAGAAGAACGATGGAAAAATACAACTTATGCCCAGGTTAGAGCCAAACTCAAAAAACATTGCTAGACAATGGAATCTATTATCCTAAAGTTTATTTTACTACATCTGCTTGTATGGCAGAAGGAAGTTCTAAAAAGAGGTGTTATTAAAAAGCTGGAATATTTAATATACATATTAACAAGTGATCCTTCAGCTGCCCCTGAAGATTTTATTCTAATGAAACTTCAAACTCATAATGAAACTGGCCAGTGGACCATTTGAATATCTGTAAAACAAACTATCATAGCTACATGTCATCCTTTAAATTACTAAAACAAAAGGCAGTGTGATTATTACCATTTTCAGCATTTACCTGGATTTTCTGTATCTCTGGAAACTAATAATGGTCTTGTTATTGTCACCTAAATAACACATGGTATAAACGTGGAGCACTAAATTACTTTCACTTTTATTTTGACACCACTGAATGTCAGATTCAAAGTGCCGAAAGCAGAGACACATAAGGAAGTCTGTCAAACATCTACGAAGTATACGATAGGGAATAGTCTACATCAAAACCGGAGCTCTTTGGAAAGGTGCCAGTATTCAGATATTTAGAACAGTCACATGTGACTAATATGCTTCACCTGCTGCGGCCCATTGTCTTCTTTCAATGTCCACTCAGAAGTATTAGTACAAACAACTTGTAGCTTATCTCACCAGACCAAATGCAGCTGGACAGGCTTAGTATTTTGGTTAAGAAATGACTAGCTGACAGGTGATTTGGGCTTCAGGACTAAGCCTGAATATGTCTTAACATCTCAAATACAAACACCATTTCAGTATCACCTTCTTCTTTCACAGTCTAACATATCCCTAAAAAAAACACTAGTGCTGCCTGCAGCCCTTAAACCTGACATCACCCATCTGAATCACTGTGGCCAGGTATCAAGCCACTGAGCTTGGCTGCGCAACAAAGCCAATAAGCCAAGCGACCTGCCAAACCAAACAATACATGATGACAAACAGTGTAGTAGGTCCTCCAGCATCAGTCCCAAACTCTGACTAAATAAGAGACCTGTCAGCGCTGACTCACCAGGGACCAAGACGACCTCAGAGACAAGGACTCATCCTGTTCACTGTTGTCTGTGTTGTCCTCTGTGTTGCTTCCCAGGAGGTCCCTGTCCCCCCAGGACCTCTGTCTCTTCATCGCTGTTAGTGGAGCACGAGCTCTTACTTTACCCACCTCAGGATACTCCACTGGGACCAGTCTTTTCCTCCCACAGATTGGGACGATAATGCCTCCCTGCCATCCTGAATCCAATCTCAAATACGGCCCACCTAATCACGTTGAAATAACCGCCCCAGGGATAAATACGAGGACACCGCTATCTGATGCCAACGGCGATTGTGCAATGCTGTCATAAACTTTGCCATCTTTCTTCTGGGGCTATTCTTTGCAGGATATACACTTGTGCTGATCCAGTCAGCTGACAGGACACAAAAGGGTTCAGCCAATGGGAAGGCCTCGTTTAGGTGGCGGTGCGTGGCTGATAAGGGACAGATAATTCCTGTGAACGGCTATGCAATGTTTTTCCCCTGATAAGAGTACAAGCTCAGGAAAAAAACCAAGCTGTACTCAGTATGACGTTCTTGCGCCGTCAGTCACATGTTTGGTGCAATCGTTGCTGGGGGGGGCTTGATAACATTGACTGGCTGCAGGAGTCAACCAATGGAATATTCAGTACATTGGACTTCAACATGTTGATGTTTTGTTCTTCATTACCCTTCAACTTGACATGTGATCACAAAAGAAAACAGGGGAAAGTTCAGTGAACACCTAAGGGATCAAGTCTCAGGGGATTAGTCTATAGTAAATATCAACACGGCTTCCTGAAATTAACCCGAGAGCTAATTTTAAATCATATCTACACTCAGTACAGACGGAGTGGGTGCACTCAAGATACTGCAGTCCAAACTATGATGAATTCAAACATGTTTCTGTCATCGGGAGGTTCTCAGTGGTCTGACTATTCTCCTGCCTGGTTTAGCTCCGGAGAGAATGCGTAAGATAAACATAATGCATGAGGCTCTTCCAAAAAGGCCCCACTCGGTCCTACAGTCCCATCTGCTAAGCCTTTTGTAAACACTATCAAACAAAACACTGACTCCCACCGTGAGCAAGGCTGTTGGTTCATCCTCCCTGTGTGTTAGGATCTGTTCTGAGTTTGAATATTTGAGTCCTGCATAAATACATTAATGCTTCCCTTTAAGAAATGTTATGGTAAAAAAAAGGAAGAGCATTTCCTTTAATAAATGCATACTTTCCTTGTACCATTAAGCGTTACAAGACCAGGAGTATTGTGGTCCTAGTTACTCTTACTTAACAATTATGGTCTTCATCTGGAAGGATTCAGTGCACGTTTGTTTTGATGGAGTGAAAAAAAGGAATCAGTCCTGTGACCGAGCTGGGCCAACCAGACAGCACAAGGCTCGTGTTACACTCTTTCAAGTATTAGGTTACACCAAACTGCACCAAAATGAGTGTACTTGTTCTGTGTGTAACATAAACCACCACAACCACAACCCCAGACAGACAGTGTTGGCTTTCATTTTTACACATTCTGCGGTAAACGCGGCCTTTATTCATGGGACCGCTGAAATCAAATAAACAATCAAATTCCTCTTTTTTTTTGTACATTTTGAGCTGTAGGAGTTACGCCCTGTGACAAAAAAGAAACCACTGTAAAGTACTTGGTTTTTGCTTTTAAGTGAAGGTACATCACAAACATTATTTACCCAATCACCCTCAGTTGCAGCAAGTGTCGAAAAAGGGAAGCCCAGGCAAACGCTTTTCATGTTGGGTAAACTACAAAAAGTCTTCTCTGAGACTAAATTCAGACTATATAACAAGGCACACTGAGCTGTCTAGTTGTTAGGTACGCCCAAACTAACGGACGCATTAACAGCCCTGCAATAAATCTATTTTAGAGATGTGTTGATTCAAGTCATTTATGGTGTTGTTACGCAATACAATGGATAAGTGTTTCTAATATTCAGCCTGCAGAAAACAACACAACGCCAACAGCTCCACAAACTACAGCCTCAAGAAATTCAATTCGACACCTCTCAAGTTTCAACAAGAACCAAACAGACATGAAACAAGCATTAAATGCTAAAGTGTGTTATCAGACTTCATTAGTTTTAGCTAATAAACCTACTGTCAACTGAGAGCAGATGAGTTAAACTGCACTGCTCACTGAGGTGTCATAACAGAGCTGGGGGTTACATAAGGATAGAGATAGACTGGCTCCAGAGTCAATGATTAAGTGACAGTATCAGTATCACATTAGCTACACATTTACATAAAATGCCAAGTTGTTATGGTTCTTAACTTAAAGACACTTAAAAAAAAAACCCAGTAAGTTGTTAGTTAGTGTGTTTTTCTTTTGTAAGTACCACCCACAGACAGGTGCTTTATTTGATGAGGTGGCAACACTGTTTACGAGCCGAGAAACACTTCTGTAACAGCAAGCCAACAACAAAACGTGAACTAACCACACAACAAGTAAGAAAACTGGCATGTCGCACAATTTTATTTATTAATTTATTTTTTTTGGGGGGGGGCTAAAAAATACTAATCTCAGAGATTAAAAGCTTGATTAGAAATGCCACCAGTGAACAAGCGAGCCGAACGGAAACTGCCGGAAATAAACGAACAGAAACCAAAGTGTAAAATGTGAATCGTGTTTACTGTGTACTGCAATGACTGTAGAGATATAGGCCGTACACAGAGGAGCAGAGAATAGCACAGAGTAAAAGAAATGAATGGAGACGGGGCTCAGCTATGGTTTGGCAGTCTGTTAACCCTCGGCTAGCCTCGGTGTCACCGTTAGCTAATAGCAGACGGTGACACGGTAACAGTCGCTGCTAACGCGACGTCGCCCGGTTTCAATGAAAAGCGGTCACGTTAAATTCCACACGTTTATGAATGAATTTTCTAACCCCCTTTAGCTGTGCAACTCCCGGGTTAAATAAACCCATTTAGAGCTCAGATGTGTTAGCCAGCTCGCAGGCTAGCTAACATTAGCAGACAATCAGAAATATGCATTATCACAGGCAGTAGCGGACGGCCATAAAAAAAAAAAAAAAAAAGGTTTAAAATCAACCCAAATCGCTAACTATTTACCTTTCGGTTACTTCCGCGGGGAGGCTGCCGATGAAGGACGTTGTGGTGTCTTCAGTGAGTCCCCATATTTGTGCCTGTGAAACTCCTCCAGAGAAAGAAAAGCCTCCTGACGTGTCGGTGCCCGGACCACCGTGGCTGACTGGTGCTGCTGGAAACAGAGAGCCGGAGTTGATGGGACAGGGAGCCGCACAGTGGCGGCGCTCTCACACAGCTGCTCTTACACCTCCAGGGTTAAATTATTGTAGCTTCTTACACAGTTAAAGTAAGACTTCGCCCTCCCTCCTCGAGCAGCTCATTTAAAGAGGATATTTATTGACAGATATTACACACACAAAGAAAAGCGTTACATTGTGTAGGTTAGAGGGTAAAAATGTGTTCATTGATTCATTCTTGGTGGACCTTTTGTGGGCCTCACTTTGGGGGTTTGCTGAATGGCACCAGCAATGAAAGCAGGCAGAAATCAGATGCCACAATTAGAGCAGCTGTTTTCTAATAGGACATAATTAACCCCCCCCCCCCCAAAAAAAACAAAACCTCTGAGCTTGTAGCAAATCAGATTATTTAACATTAATGAAGGCAATGCGTTTCTCTCAATCAATTAACTGTTTATGGGTGAACCCTTTCTAAAGCAGATGTACTTTTATTAGTGCCTGGAAGAGAAGATAAGAGTATTTTCAGGTTGTTTTTTAGACGCACAGCGACAGACAAAATGCTGCAGGGCAGTTTATCTGTATGAATTCCTCCCATTGTACCTGAAATACAACATTCCCCCCCGATTTTCAACACCTTTCTCTGACTGTCTGGCACTCCTGTGACCAGTTCTACGGAAAGACCTCCATAAGTATGCCAATTATGCCTGTAATGCTTTGCACACAAGGCTTTGAAGGTTGTGTGAGACACCTTGAATGAACCAGTTTCAACTGCCATGTGTGTTTGCTGTCAGACTCCAACTACTCTATCATCAGCATCTTCCTGCTCCACCTCTCCTACAAACTGTTGTTGTGACTGACACTTGTAGCCTGCAAACACAACATCAAAAAGGTACATAACATACATGCACACGGTACAATTTAAATAGAATAGCTGCTTATAAATAAGACACCAAGAGGTTTAATCAGTGGAGCAATGACAAATAGCTGGTAGGAAGTTCATGACATGACATTTTTCCTTTATTTTATACATAAACCTCAGGCATGACTTGGTTTAAGAGGTCAAAGGTTTTTTCCGAATGAAATACTGTAATATTAAAAGAAAAATGCGCTTTTGTGTTTTCTGGCCTTCATGCTGTTTTTAAAACACAGATTAACGACAGGTCGACCATTTCCCATGATTACACATTACATTTACTGCTGATAGTGGACACAAGTGACAGAAGACATGTCAAGCAACTAAAAGCACACAGTTATCCTCCCTGTATCACATTCATTGTTTGCTTCCTTGACAAGCAATGCCCAAAGCTCTTTAGCCCAGCACATGAAAGAGGCAGGAGGAAGCAGCTGTATTCATCATTTATTTAAACTGCTTTGGAGCACCGGCATGTGCCGGGGTAAAATGCTTTGGAGATAGCCCAGTCGTTCATTTTTTTTCCTGCTTTATTTCATTGCACCGCATCATCCTTTAGCCTTTCTTCTCCTCCTTGTTCTCCTCGTCGTCTGGGTTGTAGACGCTGACGGTGAACTCTCCAGCCTCTGTGCCGTACTTGTTCTTGACCACGAGGGCATATTTGCCAGAGTCAGCCGTGGTGACGGTGGCGATTGTGATGCTGGCAAACTTCCCGTGCTCGAACTTGAGTTTGTAGCGCTCGTCAGACACCAGCTCCTTGTCATTCTTCATCCAGCACACCTCAGGTGCGGGCTCGCCCCAGACATTGCCAGTCAGATTCAGGGACTAAAGAGAAAAAGAGAAAAAGAGGATTGATGTGTGCCATTATAAAACTGGATTCCACAGAATTCAGAGGAAAGAAACGCTCCGAGGAATGATACAATGAAAAAGAAAGAGGAAGGTAAGACAATGAGCTTCACACAGTGTATTAACACACCAGATATCTAGTTTATTTACCTTGCCCTCCTGGATTGCAACCACATCTGGCAAGCCTCCAACAACACGAGCGCGGTCTAAACAAGACAGACAAGAGTAAGCCAAGACGGAAATGTCAACCCTCAGTCAATCAACCTGTGGTGCATTTGCCTGTTGACAACATAATATTCACCGACACAGACTTTTGCAACTGAACTATCCTTCATCAAAACATATCACATTATTTTTTTAACTCTATTCTATGCATGAATGATATTTTAAATTAAACTTAAACTTTCATTTCTTCAGTTCCATATTGCAGAAATATAGCAATTTCATCTCCTGGAAAACCATTTCCTATGAATGAGATCCTTATATTATGATGACCAAGAGACTCATGTATCTTCAATTCTATTGAGCCCAAGTTTAAAATTCTATTAAAACGGAAATAGCCTATATATCCAGTAAGATGTCACACCATTTCACAGAGCAGTGTCTCATGGGAGAAACCAAAGAATAAATAACCACTTACTTCTCTCTGCAATTGCTGCCGCCCTACGGAAGGAAGGAGACAGATGCTGTCAGAAGCATCTTAAAATGGTATCACAGACAGAACCTTTTTCCCCCCTAAGCTATACAATGTCAGGAAATGTATTTTAAGTCATTCTAAAAGTGCTTAGAAAGTACATAGAGTTTATTTTAAAGTTTGTGATGACTGTTACTATTTGTTTGTGTGAGCATCCTCTTCAGACAGAAATACATTATTACACAATGGCTTATCTGACAGGATCCTTTCCTGTCAGATAAGTTTGTTTACTTACTTGAGCCGTTGGAATTCTTCAAATGCCTCTTCCCATGCTGCACCAGAAAAAAAATGAAGTTATTATTATTATTAATAGTTACATAAGAACATAAAAAGCCAAAGTCAAAGGGACCTTTCTGAAAATCTGAAGTATCTTGCTTGTTAGGCTTTGAAAGTTTCACTCACCTTTGCCACTCAGATCAAAGACTCTCTTTACACCGTCCTTGCCATCAAAGATGTCCATGGTGTATTTGCCCTTGTCCTTCTCAGTGGGCTCATTGATCTTCAGCCAAAGCTGCTCTCCTGTGACTCCAGACTTAACTCTCTCTGAGGCGGCAATCTTAGCATCTCTAATGGAGGAGTGGGTAACACAGAGATTAATTAATGCTAGACTATTTACTGAAAGTATACAAAGATCAAGTTCACTGAAAACAAAAATTCAAACAGGACAACAGTCATTTCAGTTGATGCTTAAATAATAATCTTATGTAAGTGAAAAGATTTTTTATGAATGCAATTGATTGTTTCTCATATTGTATTGCTTGACTAATTGGTCTCAGACGTGTAAAACCACTAAAGCCTGCTGAGATATTATACATGCAAAGCTTTGAATGTCTTTGACAAAAAGCAAAACAGTCACCATTATTGTGAACTTTTTACTAAAGTATGAACTTTAAAGCTGGAATAATGTGGTAATATGCAGATGCCATACTAGTATCTAACACAGTTAACAGTCTTGCTCCATCCATTTTGACTAAATTAGTGAAGAAAACTACAAGTAGGAACATGAGAACACTGATATCAATAGAGGTGACTTCATATCTATAACACAGCTGAAAAACAATACCAAGTGGTTTGAAACAACATGATATTTGATATATTTATCCTACTGTGTCCATAATCAGTGTAATAATATGGTGTTTTTTTTTGCCCCTTGTGATGTTTAGTCTTGTCTGTTGTCGTAAAGTTCTGATATATGTCATATATGCTTGTACGTGTCTGTTATGTAATTGTTTTTACGAGGTTCTCACATCAGTGATGCTGTATCCACCTACTGTGTATGTGCTTTAATGTTTTTTTGTCTGCTTTTTGTATGTCTTGTTTTATTTTAATGAATAACATCAGCATCATCTAGGGACTGAAAATCCACCCTTTGGCTAAATCTGACACATTTACATCATATCGTTGATAATTAATGTGCATTGTTCCTCATATACTTTAACAAACTAACAATCCAAGTTTGGTAACATTTACATTAAATGACACGGTTTAAAATGGTTGTGTTCATATTGGTGCTAGTGTATTTCATGACAAGTGCACGTGTGTATGCCAGATAGGAGATGAGAAAAGGATGTCAAATATGAAAGTGATTATGGTTGATTTTACGTACTTGTGGAGCCAACCAACACGTAGCTCCTCGTTGTAATATGTGACCATGGAGTAGAGGATGATGCCATGTTCAGTACTGACGACTTTGATTTCAGAGGAGGATGTGGCTGGAGGAAAAAGAATAAAAGGCTGGTGTTTATCTAATTCCCATGGAAACCACATGTATTAATGGAATATAATGCTGTATGAAATCTTTCAGTCTCTAGCTGTTAGTAGTGCATACAGTGGAAAGATTGTTTCTGTGGTTTTGTTTTGTGTGGGGTGCTTAATTTCTCTTTGTTTGGTGTGGAACTTAATGACTCACCAATAACCCTGAACAGCTCATTCATTACAGCTTGGTATCCTGGGGGTAAAAAAAAAAAAAGGGTGAGAGCAGCCATTAATGTCATCTTCACTAGTATTACAGCACTGATTTCCACTTTTCCACTTGATTTTATCACAACATTCATTAAAGAGACTGTACCTTCATCTGTCAGACTGAAGGTGCTCTTATCTTTGCCTCTGTCGTCTCTCAGCAAGACCTCGTAAATACCCGCATCACTCTTGGAGATCTAGAGTTTGAAGTGTAGGCAACTTTAGTATCCTTGAGACAGCAATGAATTCCCTTCTACCTCAAACAGAGGGGAATACAGTATAATTCTTGGGACAGATAAAAGACAGTAGAACAGCGAGACAGAGACCAACTAAACCGAAAAGGCAAGCTTTTCTCCCGCCTGGGATGCTGCAGGCGTTAAAAGGAAAACATGAAAAAGGTAAGACGAGGAGGACACACGGAGACATTATAGGTGTGAACTTATGGCAGCAAAGATAATACTTTGGGTCTTGGCGGCAGGGGAACATCTTCTGCGGGTCGCTTTTTGCCTTCCTTTTCTTTCTGTTTCTCCTGCTTAATAATCCACTGTAAATTAGACAGATAAGCCAGTTAATGCAAATGCGAATGACAGGAGTGGCAGTGAACAGGCCGCCTCTCCTGAGCTCATGCAACTACACCAACCCTCTCTTAATGAGCAATGGTTATACAGTTTCAAACGTCAATATAACTTCACTGGCACATACATTGACCGACAGACCAGATTAATATCCTCAAAAAAAGGACAGTTTTCCAGTTTCAAAATGTTTGAGGTGGCCAGAGGAGTTAAATTGAATACAGTGTTAGAAATGAAATGAATGAATGAATGAATGAATGAATGAATGGAAGACACAGAAAAACCATATATTGTATTCACATTATCTGGGCATAAATGTGCAAAAGCACAACCTATAAGTCTATAATATGAAAAAAATGCTTAAAGGTGAATGCTCCACAATAGAGTCAGTTGTACCAAATACGTCTATTCAGATTGCCAAGTACGACATGCTGATGTGCTGAGTCCAGCAGCACTCCAGCGGGACTTGGGAACGTGAATATTTTTTAAAGTGTTTCATCATTTATGGTTCTGTGTCAGAGAGGGAGGGTTGACAGCGTAGCATCTAGTCTAGGTCTACAATGGAAGCATAGCTGCGTCAGAAGCATCGCTTTTAGCTCCTTGCTCATAGGCTCACGACTTCCTCACAAACTACGGCCTCCATCTAATGGGCTGACCTTTCCGATATTAAAGGTCAGCTCGCCGTCCTTCCTCTCAATTTTCTGAGCATCCTCGTCATCCTCGGCAATCTCAATTCTGTCCTTAGACCAGGTGATCTCAGTCTCTGATTTGACATTTCCTATCTGTGGAGAGAAAGAACACCTTTGTGATGCTCCATCTTTTAAAAAATACTAACCACAGTGCAGAAATTTA